CTAGTAATGAGATTGCTGGGTCAAATGGTATCTCCAATTCCAGCTTTCTAAGGAATTGCCATATTGCTTTCCACAGTGGTTGTATCACTTCACAGTCCTACTAGCAGTGTATGAGAGTCCCAATCTCTCCACATCCTTACCAGCATTTGTTATTTTCTGTCTCATTGAACCTTGCCATCAGTGCTGGGGTGAGATGGTATCTCATTGTTGATTTGATTCGCATCTCTCTGATGGCCAATGATTGTGAGCATCTTTTTGTGTATTGGCTGGCCAGCTGAATATCCTCTTTTGTGAAGTGTCTATTCATGTCTTCTGCCCATTTTTCAGTTGGTTTGTTAATTCCTTTGGTGTTGAGGCGTTATCTTAGGGATAACCCTTGCCAGGTATATAATTATCTACAAGTATGTATTTGTTGCTGTCATTTTTGTTGTGTGCTTTCTCGTAGTGTTGATTTCTTTGTTCCATATAATTTTCTATGCTGAGCTTGTTTTGTTTATGAATCGTGTTATCACTTCCTTTGTTGCTATTGTTTTAGTATTTACTAAATATTTGTGCTGGTTCTCTTTTTTATTTTGATGTGAAGGTTTATCCTTTTTTCTTTGAAGTTACTCTGTGATTTATAGTTTTCTTCCCAAGTTTAACAGTCCGTTCTATCTAGTAGTTGTCTTGACATCCCTACCATATAGAAGTTTTGTAATGACACAGTTTTTTCCCTCTTTTTGGTTTGTAGTTGTCCTCATTTGCCAATTGATATCTCTGGTTCCCTATTTATGATCTTGTAGGTTTAGTTACTTTGAATATTTCCATAGCTGGGTTGGTTTCATGTGTGTTAATGGTCAGTTGTTGTTGGGTGTTGTTGCTTTTCTGTCCAAAGGGCTCCGTTTAGCATCCCTTGTAAGGTTGGTATGGTTTTAACAAATTCCTTTAATTTCTGCTTATCTAAAAAGGTCCTAATTTCACCATCATATTTGAGGGACAATTTTGCTGGGTACATAATTCTTGGTTGGACATTTTTCTCTTTCAGGGTTTTATATATACCATCCCATTGTCTTCTTGCCTGCATGGTTTCTGCTGAGAAATCCGAGCTTTATTTTGTTTGTATGTTGAGAGACATATCTTATTAGTTGCCCCTTGTAGGCAACTTTCCTCCCCCCGCCCCTGTGCTGCTCTCATGATTCTTGTTTGTCTGCTTTTGGTGAGTTTGATGATGATGTGTCTTGGTGATTTTCTTTTTGGGGTCTATCCTGTTTGGGGTTCGTTGGACTTCCTGAATGGATATATTCCCATCTTTCATCATATTAGGGAAGTTCACTTCCAACAAATCTTGGA